CCTGTTGAATAGGTTTTGGACACACCAGAATGAGATGGATTGAAAGATTGTACATGTATGAAATTGTATGATTGAGAATAATTTTAAAAAAAATAATTTATACTACGTATATCAACGATATGCTTCTATGTTATAGTATTTTAACACTTAAGAATTTCATAGTTAAGTGTGTTTGATTTAGAACAATTTCAAGATGGATAATCTTTATTGAAGTTTTTCAAAAAGTATGAGTTAAAACAAAACACATTGGAATGTCTTGTGTTGATTTGTAGGAATAGTCGTTAATGTTAAAGGTAGATTGTTATTTCAGAAAAAGACTACCTACAAAGAGTTCTGATTGTTAAAGGATTTTGACCAAATGAAGAGTTGTGTGAAGTGTCACTATATGAAGTATCATAAAATGCAACTATTGAGATGTCAAATTCGAGGAGTGTTACAAATGGTATCAAAGTAGTTCTTTTCTCCTAAGTGGTTCGGAGGCAAACCAAGTGGAACTTGGTAGGCTTGTTACATCCTAAACACATCGGAATGAGAGGGATTCAAAGATTGTACATGTAAAAGAATGACTTAAAAAATTAATATATACTATCGATACCAACAAGATTCATCTACTTTTCAATAGTTAATCACTTAAAAACTTCATAGTAAACATGTTTGACTTAGAACAATTTAGGGATAAATGACCTTCTGAAAAAATTTTCAAAAAGTGTGTGAGTGAAAATAAAGTACACTAAAAAATCTCGTGTTGGTTTGTGGGGATAGTATTTGATTTTAAAAGCAGTCAATCATCGTAGAAAAAGCTACCCACAAATTAGGATTTTGACTAGTAAAGAGTTATAACTAACGAAAAATTATATAAAGTATCATCGAAATGTCATATAGTGTAATTACTAAGATGTTAAATATAAGAGATGTTAAAAATGAGAGTAACTAGTTAGGCCTCAAATAGAAGTACTCCATCTCAAAATTTTAATTGTTTAAGATCAATATATACATATTTTGAAATATTTAAGATACTCATAGATTGAAAGCCCACATATTTACAAACTAATTGTGAGGGAAATAATTGTCAGCAACACCTATTTAGGTTACAACCACTTATAAAGTGGATGGAGAACCCATAAAATAAAAAAATGAATACAAAAATAAAATAAAATAAAAACTATTAAAACCATGGAAAAGTTACATAAAAATGCCTAATTTTAAGCATGTTTTCCTTCAAAAGTTATAATAACGTTGATAAAAGTTACGCGAGAGTGTCTGCCACTAATTTCAAACTTGTCAAACCTTTTAAAACCATTAACTGAGTAACGGTAACACACTAGCACGCTATTAAATTTTAACATTTCTTGGAGCATTGTTACAGCGTGCGAAACAAACGCCGAAATTTCGTCCGAATTTTTAAAAAATTATTATTATTTAATAAATTTATTATAAAATAATTATTTTTTTAATAAATTTATTATAAAATAATAATTTTTTAAAAATTTGGACGAAATTTCCGTCTTGGTTTTGGAGGATACAGCATTTTCCTTCTTTTTTATTTTTCTTATTTAGCACGACTCTTTCTTTCATCTCTCCAACTTCACACTATTGATCATATACTAAATTCATAGTAATAAAACTTGTTAAACTACTACTTGAAATATGTTATTTTTTTACAAATTTTTCTATAAAAAAAATTGCAGATTTTTTTGCGAATTTTCTTATAATAATAATTTTGTAAAAATTTTTTGCAAATTTATTTACGAAAAATAATTTACAGAAATTTCTTATAATTTTTTCATAAAAAATAATTCACAATTTTTTTTTTTGCAAATTTTGCTACAATTTTAATGGTCATAAATTTTTTTTTTCATGGTAAAAATTAGTAAAAAAATGTCATAAGAATTTTTCTTGCGAATTTTCTTGTAAAAATAAATTTGCAAGTGATGTTTAATAAATGGAAGAAAAATTTTACAGATAACTTTTCTTACAGATTTTCCAATCAATTTTAATCCATAGAAAAAATAAAAATATATATAAATTTATAAGTCTAAGAATTAAAAGATTTTCTTAAAATCACACGTCAATTCAAAATAAAATAATTAAAGAGTATATAAGTTAGAACAACACTTACCTTACAAGTTGATTTTGTATTGTTGAGTGTTAGATCTATAATTTACATGCTTTGGATGAATTCATTGTAAACATTTGAAAGTTGAAGAATTATTAATAATATTGTACGAAAAATTACCTCTAAATAATATTTTTTTTAATTTTTTTGGTAAGAAATTTTTCTTAGAATTTCTTGCAAAAAAATTCTTTCATAGAGAATTTTCTTACGAATTTTTTTACACGAAAATTTCTTGCGAATTTTAAAATTCGCAAAAATATATTATTCACGAAAATATTAATAAATAAAATTTTACAGAAAAAATTGTAAGAACAATATTTTTTTAGAATTTTTATGAAAAAATTACAAAAAAAATCACATATAATAAAAAAAATAGTAATAAACTATCATAAAATCATTAATTGAGTAACGGCAACACAATAACACTATATTCAATTTGAACATTTATTATTTTATTTTTCCATGCATTCTCTTTCCTTTCTCTCTCTCCCCAATGTCGCACTCTCAATCACATATAAATTTATCACTAAATAAATTAACTTTATTTAATGAAGTATATGACACCATAAAATTTCGTCCAATCAAATGACCTATCAAGTGAAGGAGAGTAGTTGCGTTTAAAATAGACTCTGTCCATATCAATTTTTTTTTGTCCTTTAAGATCAATGTGTAATGTGTTTTGTTGATTGAGAAATGTTTTAGAGACTCAAAGTTTACATTTTTGCAAATTAATTGCTAGTAAAAAGCTAATTACCACACTTATTTTGGATCTAATGACTAATAAACTGAATAATAACCTATAAAATAAAAAATGAATTAATAAAAATCATAAATAATTAAGTTCATGGAAAAGTATTCATAAAAATTCAAAATTATAAGCCTATTTTCCTCCGTAAGTTACGATAAAGTTGATCATAGTTACCTGAGAGTGTCTGTCACTAACTATTTTTAAACTTGTCAAACTTTAAATTATTTACTAAGTAACGGTAACAAAATAACCCCTTATTCTTAGGAAAATAGAATAATAATTAAATATATTTTATAAGAATTTTCAAGAATTTTATTTCTTAATTATTGGCAGAAAATTATTTTATTTAGGACTGAAAATTTAATTACTTGAAATGCTACTTAATAGTAATCCTACCTGCGTTTTTTTTTACAGGAACCCTACACGTTTTTAGTAAATGAATAATTGACATTTTTTAGTTTTTTTTTTATATTCATTTCTTAATTAAGAAAAGTGACATAAAAATCATTTGACTGCATGTAATATTGAATAACTTTTTGGGGCCAAAGTCTTCGAGACTAATATCTAATTAATTGATATAATATTTTTCAATTAATTAATGTAAACATAATATAAATGATGGGCTAATAATTTTTTTGACATGTTTAACAGTTATTTGGATTAATTAATATTAATTTTGGTAAGCGATCAAATTGATGTATTTTCAATGTTAATTGACTAAATTAATGTTAAAATTCGTTGAATTAATAAAAATAATGATATACTTATATCTTTATAAGATAAAAAATTAATCATAATTATATTCATAAACTCATTTTTCTTTTATTTTTTTATAACTATTTTTTTTTATTTCTTTCCCATCATATTCATTTATTTTCTTGCTTCTCTCTCCTTTTTATATCAGTTCCTTACATCATCAAATTATACACTCAACATTTTACAAAAATACACTTGAATTAAAAGATATAATAATTTATTTTATAAACTTCGATTAATACATGAAAATAATCTATGAAACAAGAAAACCAAATCATTTCTAAATGTTGACATATTAAAAAAATAATAATAATAACAATGTATGAACCACCATGTATTTGACTTATAAAGAATCTAAAATGAAAACACGGGGAAAAGGTGAACTGACTTCAATATATTCCGTTTCTCTTAACTCATTTAAATTTGTAATAAAAACTTTGACTTTTGTACCATAGTTACATTATAAATGAGCTTTGACGGTTACACAATTTTATGTCATACAAAATTACAAATACTTTTGAGTTCTCAATTTCAATTATTTCTTTTAATTCCTAGCTACCAGGCTTTCAAGGTCCAGTCTTGTCCAGAAAATAATATAGAAGAAATTCATTCTAAGCACTACTTTGAGGCTCTTTTATCTTATTAAAAAAGTTTTACAATTAAATCAATTTTATGTTGTTAAATATTAGGTTGATTCCACATTTTTAATGTCTTTTATTATGTACTGAGAACCACTTATGTTATCATTCATAACTCAATAAATAATTTCAGTGTTTTATTTAAAAAGTTTTCAGCATGAGCAATTGATAGATTTATATTTTGACTGTGAACATTAAGCTTTATAAAAGGAGATGAATAAAAACATATAATTAATAACACTTTATTCTTATGACTAATTGCTATTAGTTACGCAATTAATTTCTTGACAACATTGTTGATTATATATTAATGTGATTTGTCAAATTTAAATTAATTTAATCTATGTGACAGGGTGTCTAATATGCGGTTGTAACTTGTAAGCTTGAAAGGCTTGTTGGTAAATATTTTGTGATATGTGGCATCCATAGAGGAAAAGCAATTAACTTAAAGTCAAGTCATAGTGAAGGAGAGGGTATGTGTTCACCGACATTACATCTTAGAGCTTCTTTGCTTTCCTATTCAATCATTTTCTCACTATTTTGTTGAAACCTTCCTCAGGTTCTTTCTTATTACATTTTCTCACTCTCTCTCTCTCCACAACCATCTCACAATTCATCCTTGCTCTCATTTACCCTCCTTTATCATATCCAACTTATTCTTTTTCTGTTGTTTCTACAATTTTTCTCATTTCTAAACTTTCAATTCTACAGAATCAATGACAACAAAATGGTTGAATATAATTCTAGATGGCAACTCAGCCTTGGGTCCTTGCTGGCCCAGGATTTTGTCTGAATATTTGGAAGATATAATCAGGTTTGAGATTTCTTGCTTCTCATATATCTTAAAGAATAAAAACTAAAACTTTTCATAGAAAATTTTATGAATGAATTTTTTTTAGCACAAGAGAATGGGTTTATGAGTGGAGGGAAAATATAATAAATGAAAAAGTGTTTCAAGAGATAAATTTTTTATTTTTGTGTTTCATTAAACTATTCCATAGCTGCATTTTTCTTTTAAGAATTTAGATCCAAAAACTGGTGAGCAATTTTTTTTTTTTTTTTGATGTAAGTCACACCAAATAGATCCTCTCCTACATTGTTGACTGCAACAAAAAAAAAAGGAAATGAAGAGAGAGAGAGAATGAATAAATTAAGCAAAATGATTAATTACTTAATTAATTAAGAAAAATTAGATTACGATAGAAATGCTGAAGAGTGAAAATTATATTTTTTGTCTTGTTATTTATAAAAAAATATGATTTTGATACCAATGGAAAAAATGTAACTTAAAAGATAAAGAAGTTCGAACGAGATTCAGTGTTGACTATTGAGTTTAGACAATATTATATAAAATTGATAAGATTTCAATTTTAGGATTGATCTTTAATTAAAAAAAAAAAAAAAAAGGGATAGAAGAGAAAGAAATAAGTAAAAAATTAATTAAAAAGTAAACAAATTTGGTTGATGAGAAATAAGAGAGGAGAGGGGAAAATAGTGTGGAATCCACGGGTTATTTCCACTTTAATTTTCGTTCATCTATTTATTTCTTTTTTAACTCTTTCATAATTATTTTAAACCAAAAGCATTTATTTCTACAAAATGTCTCTCCTATTTTCATTCACATTTTCCTTTTAATTTCATCTATCTTAATTGATCTGATCTATTTTTTCTTCCTACCGAATAGATCCCAAATTTTCAATAAAGACGTATTCTTTGTTGAGAAAAAAAAATCATTAAAAAATTTAGGGTCATCTAACTTTAAATTTTTATTTTATTTTATTTTTTATTCGTTATATTGATTTTTATTTTTAGTTTTTATATGCATTTAAGTTTTGACAGTGGTAAGTGGTCTTCGGGCACTATTATTTTAAACTTTTCATATTTATTTTGTACTTAAAATAATATCATGCACACCTTGCACTCGATTTTTTTTTTCCTTTCTCCCCTATTGTCCTATTCACTTCCAACTTATTTATTTTTGTCTCTCCACAAAATAAACCTTACTCTGTCTTCCCTCCTCGTCTTCATTATATTGAAGGTTGTTGAGGTCAATTCTGATGTGGTTGTTGCCTAGGTCAATTCTGATGAGGCAGAATTAATTAATAAACCACCCCAATTAAAAATAACTTCAAATTGTTAATAAACATTAGTTTATATATTTTATCACGTCTACCATATTTGGTTTATATATAAACCCAATTCTAGTTAACCTTGTTTTAAATTATTAACTGGGATTTAAATATGTTCCCCCTAGTTTGTGAACATTTGCTATCATCATGTGTATTACTTCTTTACCCCATTGATTATGCAGGTCCTACTTTGACAACTCAAGAGAAGAGGTAATTTAATTATAATTTTTCAGTATTTAAATTATCTATATTGTAAACTTGCACTTAGTTACAGAAATTGATTGATTTCAAAACTAAAACTTAGGGCTTCTTGTTTATCCATACACCTTATAATTTATCCAATACTTCACTAAAAAAAATTCCCAACCATATCTTATCCCTGTATTAATGTGTTTTGGTCTGAAGGTATATGCAAATATAATAAAATGTGATTGTTAATAAATATTTAAGTGGTATAAAGCGTTATATGATATGTTTTGAAGTGGTATCTGATCTAAAATTAGCTTCGTCATGAGCAAAATGATAGGAATTATTTAGTATGGAAGAAAAATGACTGAAACTAGCATTTGGAGGGTGTTTCTCTTTATTGAAATTAGTACTATATCCTCTCTACCTCGGCACATTTTCTTTCTATTTTTAAAATCCCAAAATCAGTTTCTTATTGCATTGTAACAAAAGGAAGAAAACTACCCTGGACTAGCTAGGAAAATATTTGTAGACCAAAAGAGCTGGAAATAAAAAATGTACTTCAGTTTAACATGGCTCTTCTTGGTAAATGGCTCCGGAAGTTGTTAAATAAAGAGGTTAATTTGTGTGTTAGGGTTTAGTATCAAAAGATGGGAATGTGTAAGTTGTGGGAGTTAGGCAAAATCTGTAAGAGGGAAAATTAAGGAAAATTGGATTGTAGTGAGATTAAGAAAGTTAGGAGATGAGAGTCAGATGTTGTTTCAGAAGAGAATGAGTAAAGGATATAGGGTAATTATATGTATATATTCTTATTCTTATACTCTCTTTCACTTTTTGTGGCTCAATTGTAAGACCCATTTTATCCAACATGCAAGCAATTCTGACCAAGTAAGAAGGGAAAAACTTCTTTGTGTATGTCATTTAGTTTGCTTGTATTTGGTCTTTCTGGGTTCATATATTGTTTTAATCAGAAAAGTGACTTTTAATGGTGAACATATTCTGAGTTTGGTTAAAGTAGAAGGGTTTAATTTTTATTTTTCCCACTGGGATAAGGATATATTGCGTTTGGTTTGTATTAGATCTTTGTAATTGTTTTCATGTTGTAAGGCTTGAGATATTCCTTATACTTTATTTTTTATTTATCTTTTGTTTTTTTATTATAAAAAAATAAATATATTTTAGCTTACTACGCACTAGTTGCTTTCTACAGGGAGGCCATCCTACTTGCGAGCTTGGTTTAGTAATGTACAACGCCAGTCCAAACTTAGGTATTAACTTCTTCTTCTTTTTTTTTTTAATGTTTTGCATCTTTTAGCTCAAGCAATTTTTTTTTTTGAAAAGCAATATATAGTAGTTGTGTACTCATTATTATTATCCTTGATTCTACAACACATAATGTCAATTATTTGAATCATTCCTTTAGGAAGCCCACATTATAATAGGGCATAAGTTCTTCATTGGAAATTAATACCTTCACCTATATATATATAAGGCATTATTGATAACATTTGATCATTGTGAAAAATGAGAATATACATAAACCATTAAATCTTATTTGAATGATAAAGATTAAAGATAAATATCTTTGATTTTAAGTTTAAATATTTCTATGATTATTAGCTAACTTTTAATATTGATAATTTATATATAATTGTATAATCTAAATTTTTAATAGCATTCTTAAAATGAAAAGTTTCCGATCTCATTATATATATCTCCTACATACACATTATCTTGAAGCAAATACTGAATCTTTCAATTTTTTTGTATAGGTAACGATGTCCAATATATAAATTGGACAAAAGATTTGGATTACTTCATACGCGTTCTGTCAGGTTTATCATTTAATGGACCAAATCTATATCAGCATAAGATAGCAGAAGGTTTGGCTGAGGCTTTAGTGGTATGTTATCATACAAACCATTAGCTTCCATTATTGATTTAATTATCATACATATGAGATGTGCATGCAATTACCTTAATTAAGGCTGTAAATAACAATATGAATCTTGGACTGAGCAGATGTTCCCTAGGCCACCTGATAAATTGGCAACAATACAAGAATATTTCATGGGTGAAAGACATTGTATTCTTCTGGCAACTGGGAACCCTGTTCCCCAAAAAATGAACGTGTCTGTGCCTTTGATCAAGGATGCAAAATTTGTTCCATCACAATTAAAGCCTCTATATGGTAATTTTCTGGAGGTGGCACCAATATTTGGAGAGGTGATATCTTGGAACTATTTTCTTACTTTTTGCTGAATCATAGCTTTCTGTTTAAACTATGTCCATGTTACTACATGCAGTTGGCGATAAGCCTTTCGATAATTACTCCAATGCATCATCCAATGTATAGAGAGATTTTCAATTCGGTAAGATATCTAATGGGGCATGATTCTAGCCAAAGAGTAACTATAGTAGAATATTTAGTATAATGCTAGTAACGATTATGGAAGTGCTAATGAACCCTTTTAGTTTGGCTAAGCCAAGATTTAAAATTTTTATAAATTGCAACCATGAAACTATGGTAGCAATATCATAATTTCTGAAGTGCATAACAATCACAATTATGACCATATTTTATTTATAATATTGATAACCATATAGAGGGAATGAATTGAAGCGTGTGAGAGCAAGATGTGGTAACTGATACCCACCACGTTAAGAAGCAACTCTCCCGGAAGCTTGAATTCGTTGGTGAAAATACGTGAATAATTTTATGTATATAACAACCCAAATAAATCAAGACATTCTAAGTGAGGCTTATATTATATTTTCCATAATGATGTGTTTAGGTTAGTTTATATTTCCCCCCTTCTTTTGCAGGCGAATAACGTTTCTCCAATGGTAAACAATCCCATTGAGTATAGAATGGATGAGCTCACTTTTTTATTGTCAAGAAATTTTAAAGAGGCACACAACGTCCTTTACAGAAAAGGAAAAACAGTTTCAACATCAAAAGAAAGTGCAGTACCAATGAAGACAAAATCTTGTGTTACACCTCCCATAATTTCCTCTACCTACCCTCAAGGTTCTCTCTCTCTAAATATACGTTTGTTTTTTGTCATGATTCTTTATCATTTTCTTCTCATCATCATCTTTCCCAATCCCTAGTAACATAATGATTTCTCTGTTCAATATTTTCAGAAAACCTACTTTCGGCTAATAGCATGATCCCCATGGAGCAAACCATTGAAGGTGTTCAAAATGTTATGCATGCACTTGTACGTATATAGCCTTTTTTTCAAATTTCAATTTACATTTATGTGGTTGAATAATTTAAGTTATTTTTTCCTTTCACCTTCAAGTAGTTAAAATTCTAATTTTAGATTGTTTTCCACCTATTTTTGGTTCATTATTTATTTATTTTTCATATACTTTTCTGCAAACATGAAAAACATTCTTGTTCAGGAGTCTGCAGTAACCTCCCTGCACCCGGTTATCCCTCAAGTAACTGCAGCTCAGACATGTGACCCTTCTCCCATCTCCTCTCAGCTGCCAAAGCAAAATGTGTTTGAGAACTTGATGGCAAATCTTTGCAATGATGATGGTGGTGATATTATACCATGGAAAAAACCCAAATTTATACCAACATTCAACGAAGAAGAAGAAGAAAACAGTTTCCGAGACCTTTTTAAACTAGACAAGCCTCTTATTCCTTTTGTTGATACCCTTGGACAAGAGAAAACATTGTCTTCTAACCAAAGCATTTCATTGGAAGCCCTCAAAGAAGGAGAACCAACACAAGTGCTTATGGATATTGCAACACAAAGTGTATCAAAAGAAATAGCTGGAGAAGGGTCTTCAAGAGTACAAGCTCTAGAACTAGGAGGCAATGTCAGCCTAATGAATCCTATTCCTGCCTCAGAAAACTTCTCTAGTTTCTCATTTTCTCAACCATTGGTAGCATCCACTTACACAGCTGGAGAAGGGTCTTCAAGAGGACTGGCTCAAGAACAAGGAAGCAACATGGGTGTGGTGAACAATATTCCCACCTCAAAAACCTTCTCAAATTCTAATTTCTCATTTCCTCAACCAGTGGTAGCATCCAATTGCACAGTTGGAGAAGGGTCTTCAAGAGGACAAGTTCAAGAACTAGGAGGCAATCTGGGTATAACGAACCCTATTCCCACCTTAGAAAATGGCTCAAATTATAGTTTCTCATTACCTCGACTTATCAATCCTGATTTATGGCCTATGTGGGTAAAAGAATTGCAACAACCAAGTGGTGGGAATAATACAACAGTTGGATTAGGAACTCCTAATCCACTTCCACATGATCCTCCACGAGTTGGTGCTTCACTTGGAAATTCCTTGTTCCCTAACTCAACGGAAAACTTGCTCAATCAATGTCAATCAACTTCATCACCAAGCTTTAATCCAGTGCTTTCTTATGGCGGTGGTGGCGGTAGTAGCGGAAATGGCAGTAGTAGTCACCAACAATTGCAAAGACAGATACCATATAAATATACTGAGTTGAGTCACCTAGGTACACCTGCAATGAGAGAATGGGCGCAGCAATATAATCCCAGAAATATTTTGCTTCCACCACTTCTAATGGATATTAAGGACTATGTGGTTGCATGGGAGGTAAAGTAACTCATTACTTGATAAATGCATGACCAACATATATCTTATCAGAAACTTGGAACTTAGAAGGTATATATACTTATCATTGCGTGCATATGTGAATTTATTTGTCACAAATAAATGGCTTCTGACTTCCTTGATTGAAGTTCTGTTTGAAGTTACTTTAAAAAAACAAACAATTTAATAGAAAAGGTAAAACCATAAACAATCTATACCTTTATATTTGTCTTGATAATTAATATGTTATACACACTGTTAACATTAATTATGCATATCACTTTTAAGTATTTGAGTAGGTTGAAAGAGTACGTGGTCAAAAATTATACTTTGATATATTAAATTTTCTGATATGTTAATATCGCTTATAAAGATGCTTTTTTGATGAATATATTTTCTTGTGCATGTAGGGGTGTTTGGTTGGAAGAGTTCACGCCTATCGTGCATGTCTTAGTCAAGCAAGGGTATGATATATTTAAGTTATTGTAGAAGAATATTTCTTTGACTTAGAATGGCTAATTTGTTAGATAATATATATTACAAGAGACTTCTATTTCAATCTTATTTTTAATTTGAGGAATCTTCATCGTAACATTTATAAGAATTGACTATAATAGTTGAAAATTTTCATTTTTTCCCTTCTGCTACAGGTCATGATCAAACCAACATCACCTTCATCGTAAGTGATTCCTCTTCTCCGTTCCTAAAATTTCTTAGAAGTCCTTTGTGTTAATTATGTAAACAAACATTTTCCAAAAGCTAAGAAAATAAAACTAAAAAGTGAAAATATTTATCATGTAATATTAAGATATAAAATTAATTTAAAATATTGAATTATACGGTTACTAAAAAAATTGAGATACGGTTCAAAAAAAAAAATATTTACTAGTCATCAAGACCCTTTGTTGTAGTCATAATGTAGAATTTTCTCTATAAAAATCCAAAAGTGCATACATAATTATGTCTAATCTAAATGTACCTTGGGCTCATCGGTTGGACTTCAATCAAGGGCTATTCATCATCAAATATTGTTTAACTCATGTTTATACTTTTATTTTTATTGTAGGCTTACTTCTACGTGGTCGAGTAGGTTGGAGATCCTCATCTTCATACCCATAACGGCTGTCAAGCATACATTAAAGTAATTTTATGATACAATGTTACTGCTGATTTTTTAAGTTAACATTATCTTTTGTGAAAAAATCTTATATATATTTTAATGTCATTTAAACTTAGGATTATTGGTCGACCTATAGATTACGTGTTCTTTCACATAATTCAGTTCAACAATCTTGACGTGTATGAACATCTGATGAGTAAAAATTTGGTGAGTCATATAACTATTATGTTAAATAACAATATCCTTTTCCCATCTGCTATAGAGTGGATAGATACAATTTTTTTCTGAATATAAATGTTTTTTAGAATATAATACTCATTTAACTGTTTCATTTTTGTGTAGTGTGCAAAAATTGAACTCCCATTGCATACTATAATCTTATCTACAACGGAAAGCAAACACCATTTCTTAGGAATAATTTTTCCAAGGGTGAGTGTGATCTCAATTTTATTTCACATCATTTTATTAATTTCCAAATTTTCATTTGTCTTATGATCCAATCTTTCTATGCTTTTTCCGATATTGCAATTTGACTTACACAGGATACAGTATTTGTTGAACCTGCATAAGGATGACTTTGTCAAGAGCCAAAACAAATCCAAGTAATGAATAAAATGTTCTAAGAGCTGCATATATGCTGCAAGGTAGAAGAGCATGAAACCATAGGGAAGAGAAAGAGACCGATTAATCATGAAATCATGTTATAGAATTGTTAAGAATTTATATAACTTTTGTTATGTTTTGTTTATTTTAGTTCTCTTGATTGGATTTGTCATATACTGCCAATTTAAGTGAATATGCTTGATACTTTTATGGGTTTTAATTTTATTAATTTGTTTATTTTTAATTATGATATTCGTACAAAATATTTATTATTAAAAATAATAATTAATCTTCATCGGATATCATTAACATACATAAATATATGCATATAATTAATATGTTTTTTAAATTATAGTCATACTCATTCAATTCATAAGTAAGAGGACTTCTACCTTCCTTTGAATTTTGAATAGTTTTAAATTATTTTGTGTTTTAAATCATTGACACAGAATTGGATTGATTTAAATTAGAACCATGCTATTATAAATTTGTAATGTATTCAACAAGATATATTGATCAGAATCCATTTAATCACCATGGCAGTTAAACATGTTCATTTATTTTTCAGAGAATTAATGATTTCAACATCTGTGTTTATAATGGTATGGTTAATTTGATGATTTGGATATGTTAGGTACGTTGGCATAATTTTTAGTATCAATTGGTGACTGGATGTCTTTCATTTTATACTTAATAATAAAATCTTCGAATCTCTCTCACTGTCTCACACACATGTAGTTTTTTTCTCTCTCTACATATTTCATTATATTTTTAGAATTTAATTTAAATGCATTCGTTACATAGTTACAAAAAGAAACTCTACAATTAATAAAAATTATTGAAAATAGTTTTAAAAAGACTTGGATAGACAAATAATGTAAAAGTTTTTATATGATAAATTAATCGAAAATCATTCTTGTTATGACTCAAAATTCGTATTGTTAACTTTTAAGAATGGTCGCTATATTCTTTGGAGTATTTGTAGAAGATGGCAAAATTGTCTTCAACTATGTAAATATGAAGTTTTTTTTCCTCACATATTTATAGAGAGGTGAATGTGGGTGTTGTGTGCTGATAAACTAGTATCTTCTAGTATAGATCAAAGTTAAGTTTTGTGTGGTGGGATCATCTCCCTAATTGGATTAGGGAGGATTTTGTTCATAATCGTAGTGATTTACTTGTATTCCGCTTCTATTAATTACTTTCTTTGTTCTCCCCTTTTTTGTGGATTTTGGCCTAGTCCTCCCACTTGTTTTGTAATTTTCTTATTTTTATTCTATGGGACGTGTTGTAGATGATTGGTATATTTAGGGGTGTCAAAATTGTTGGGATACCTAGTGATTCTTTGAAACCTTTTCATTAAAAAAAAAACATTATGACTTTAAAGATAGTATTATAGAAATAGAGACAAACAATAAATATTCTCAAACCAATATTTTTAAACATTAGCACAATGGTGTAATAGTTCAGACACACCAAAATGGGAAGAATTTATAGATTTGTATAATTATGAGATTGTACAATTGAAAATGATTTAAAGAAAAAAAATATATACTATTTATACTAATAAGATGTATTTACTTTTTCATAGTTCATTAAGAACTCTACAGTTATGCATGCTTAACTTGGAATAACTTGGGGATGAGTAACCTTTTGGGAGAAGTGTGTAAGTGAGGAAAAAATACGTTGAAAATCCTTGTGTTGATTAGTGAGATTGGTCATTAATCTTAAAAGTAGACGGACATTTTAGAAAGGACTACCTATAGAGGGTTTTGACCAGTGAAGGATTCTAACCAAAGAGAAGTTGTGTGAAGTATCATCATGTGAAGTGTCATGGAATAGAGCTGCTTAGACGTAAAATCTTAGGGGTGTTACAAATGATATCAGAGTAGGTCTTCTCTCCCAGTACGATGTAGTTCAGTGACGAATCAAGCGGAAACTGGTGGACTTGTAACTACCCAAAACACACCAAAATGAGAGGGGTTCAGAAATTTGTACAAATATGAGATTGTATAGTTGAGGATGACTTAAAGGAAAAAAGTTTTGTACTACCTATACTAACAAGATGTATCTACTTTTCGATAGTTCATCATGTAAGAACTCCATAATTACACATGTTTGGCATGGAGTAATTTAGGGATGAGTTATCTTTTGGGAAGGTTTTCAAGAAGTGTGTGAGTAAGGACAAAGCACAGTAAAAAGTCTTGTGTTGGTTCGTGGGACCAATCGTTGATCCTAAAAGTGAACAAATATCTCTATTAGGGCTACCTATAGAGAGTTCTGACCGGTGAAGAGTTCTAACTAACAAGGAGTTGTGTGAAGTGTCATCGTGTGAAGTGTTATTATGTGAAGTGTCGTGGAGCGAAGCCGTTGAAATGTCAAATCTAAAAGGTGTTACAAATGATACCAAAGCAAGTCCTCTCTCCTAGTACGATGTGGTTCGAGGACAAACCAAGTAGAAGCTGGCAGATTTGTACCAGCCCAAGCACACTAGAATTATAAGAGAAATCAAAAAATTTATACAAGTGTGAGATTATATAGTTGAAGATGGCTTAAAGGAAAAAAAATTATACTACCTATATTAACAAAATGTATATACTTTTTAGTAGCTCATCATTTAAGAACTTCATAGTTAAGCATGCTTGACTTGTAGTAATTTAAGGATGAGTAACATTTTGAGATGTTTTTCAAAAAGTGTGCAAATGAGAACAAAGCACATTAAAAAGTTTTATGTTGATTTGTGGGATTAATCATTGATCCTAAAAGCAGACAAACGTCTCAGAAGGGTTACTCATGGAGGATTCTTACCAATGAAGGGTTCTGACTAACGAGAAGTTGTATGAAGTATCACTATGTAAAGTATCATGAAGCAAAGTCGTTGAAACCTCAAATTTGAGAGGTGTTATAAATGGTATCAGAACAAGTCTTGTCTCCTAGTATGGTGTGGTTTAGGGAAGGACCAGATGAAAGCTAGTGGGCTTGTAATAGCCCAAACATACCATAATGAGAGGGATCTAGAAATTTGTACAAATGTGAGATTGTACAGTTGAGAATGAATTAAATGATGCATCTACTTTTCAATAGCTTGTCACTTAAGAATTGCACAATTAAGCATGTTTGACTTGGAGTAATTCAGGAATGAGTGACCTTTTAAAAAATTTCCCAAAAAGTGTGCGAGTGAAGATAAAGTACATTGAAAAGTCTTGTGTTAATTTGTGGGGTCAATCATTGATTCTAAAAATGGATGAACACCTCAGAAAGGGTTACCCATAAAGGATTATGATCGATAAAGGGTTTTGACTAATGAAAAGTTATGTAATGTGTCATCGTGTGAAATGCTGTGAAGCAAAGTCATTGAGATATCAAATATGAGAGATGTTACAAATAGAACCATTATGATCTACCTAGTAATGGAGGTCTAGAGCCTTAAGTTCAAAATTTGATATTGTAATTATAATTTTGATGAATAAATAAATAGCACAAATACTAATATAATGACATGTTTATGTTAAATTTTTAATTGTGAACGCATTTATTATTTAAATTACATATAATTTAATGTTATAGCATTTATAATCATTTAAAACCAAAGTGTTGGAAATAAGTGATTAATGTGTTGAATTTAAGGTTGAATCATTTGGACAATGTTTAAGTTTAATCTTTGGCAAAAATAATCCTTTATCAAACTTTACTTACTTTCCAACTAGATTAATCTAAGACAAAATCTTAAAATACTGGTATGAAAAAAAAAAAGTTGTAATCATTTAAAAAATATTTTATTATAAAAAATAATAATTTCATTAAAATTTAAATTGATTTAATGCTTGCATTATAGAACATTAATATTTCGAGTACTTTTCAAAAAGGTGAAATGAACATATAATAAATAGACATTAATTTTATGAGAAGAGACCGATTAAATGAAATACAAATCTATTAAAAAATTATAATTTTAATATATTTTAATTTAAACACAAATATATTTAAAATAATATATAGAGTGACTATCTTTGTAATCTTTCTTATCTTTATAAAAAAAATAATATATAGAACAATGATACACTGTCCAAAAACGTATTCTGAATCACGTTTCAATGAATTTCGGAGGATACATTCGGAGGGTCTATCATTTTTCTAATATATATATAAAGTATCGCTAACATTTTTTTTACACAAAACATATAACGTACATATTTTTCCCTCCCCTTTATTGCATCCTCTTTACAAAAATGCTTCAATTGTTATTTGCATATCTCCAAACCCGTCTTCTGATCACCATCAAACTATGGGTTATATAATACATTCCATTCAAACCAATGAAATACAAATATTTATCACTAAAAAATGATATTTTCATATAATATTTAAATTGATGTGTTAATTTCGTAGCTCAAATTAATGAACGTTAATTTTCCGAATTCCGAAAAAAGATGAATGATATATGATAGTAAATCTATTTATCGTTAATAGGCTTGATATTTTAATTCGATCTCGTGGCTGATTGACCATATTGGGACAGTTCCCAAACTTATTTACGTAAATGAGGCTGTTTTTAAACAATATACACCTTTGGGGCACTTTTTAACGGTGTTGCTATGGCCCATAGCGACACCGGTGACACATGGTATTTTTGTAACTCCAGCGAAGCCATGAAAGTCATATTGATAATGTCGCTACAGCCTATAGCGACACAAAACAGTTTCACTGAAGTCGCTATAACCTACAGCGCCACATATTTACCATAAAAAAATATAAGTAAATAATATAAAATAAAATAAAATAAAAAGAATTTGTGAAAGTGGCGCTATGGCCTATAGCGACACTGTGTCGCTATAGCCCATAGTGCCACCCGTTTAAAAAATAAAAAACAGAAATAGAAAAAATATATATATATAATAAAGAAAAAACAGAAAAGATAAATATATAAATATATATTTTTATGA